TCATGTATTCTTTTCTCTCTCTGCCATGAGGTGGGTATGTTACATTCTGTTCTGTGAATTCTAGCTCTGAATCCAAGTGTATATTTCTGGTGTGATGACTTCAAAAATATGTTTAACATACATTTTTTAGTGTGTGCTGCATCTGATACACACGTAATGTAATGGACTGATATAGACAGATGTTTGTTGCTTATGCACCTGTACCACAGGAAGAAAAAAAATGTTCTGATGCCATCATAGCAGGCACCTGGTGAAAGGACACAGTTTCTATGCCAGCAGCAGGGAGACCTGTTTCAGGTTAGCAGTCTAACTGGATTTGGAGGGCTAGCAGAAGTTCACTGTCTGTAGGAACCCACCAAGGCAGGCCCAGGAGCGGCCTGTAAAATTACCTATATGGCAGCTCTTGGAGATGTAACAGGAGGTAACTTATCCTCTCCTGTACAAAGCACTGTGACGCCTGCAACGAAGCTGATAACGTGAGCCATAGGTCTGTGCAGCAGGCTGCAGTCCTGCTGGAGCTGCTGCTGATGGGCAGGTGAGAGGAGGTGCTTCTCACTCAGTGCTGACAGGAGCACAGTGCTCGGTCTTCTCACAGTTGTGTCTTATGTTGCAAAATCAAATTGAAATAGGCTGTCAGCTTTGAGAGGAACCTTGAACAACAAATATGCAGTTCTGAACATGTGGAAGTATTCAGTGTTTGCCTGCATGTGGGCTTTAAGATCTATTAATATATATTCTGCGTATCCCTAGCCAAATCCTTTATGTGTTCTGCATTGTGCTTTGAATTGGGCAGAATTCTTTCAACCTGAGGAGGATTTGTGTTCTTAAGTATTGAGTAATAGAGGGCAGTGGAGGTCTCCGTGCTTGTTCTCCACGTGGGTAACCTATTTCACTGCTGAAATGCATTTGTGAGCTTGGTATTTAGGGCTAAATGTCTGCAGAGCACCAGGAGATAACAGGCCCTGCAGAAGCTGACCTGCTGTTCTCCTGGTTGGCGATTAGTATCGCAGTGCGACAGCTTCGTGTTCCCAGAAAGATCTGCTGTGCCTTCCTCTGGTCACCAGCAGCACATGGGAATGCTAGAGGCAGCAGATCTTTTAAAGTGTCTCGTGTTCTTAGAAAGTTCCTGCGGTGATCTCTCTGACAAAGTTAGTATTTACAGCGATCACCTCTAGGGTAAGTTCTGTTCTCCCTCTGCCAGAAGGAAGCTCGTCCTAATAATGATTCTCAGAAAGGTAATGCATCATTCAGATGATCTAGAGAAAAGCTGAATTGGTTCAGATCAATGGCAAAAAGTCCTGTTGAGTTAAAAGGGAATACAGTTTTCATTTATGATTTTCATAGAACAGCTTAGGGAATGGAAAGAATAAAGGAGTGTGTCTCATAATGATCACTTTCTTGTAATATTCTGCGTGTATTTTATCCACAGAAGCTTTGTAAGATGGGAAAACGAAGTACATTTGAAGTCTGTTGAACAAAATCTGCTTGTTGCAGTATCCCGAGGTGGTGTGGCTGGTAACTTCTGTAGCCAGGTACTTATTCCTGGTAACTGGTTCATGAGCTGTTCCCAACTGATTTTCAGATACAAAGTCCCTGAAGAGATACTTAGTTGGATTTGAATTTACTTTGGTGGCAGATCTCCAGCCAGCAGCCAGGAGACTTTTCTGCTGCTAGAAGTAGATGAAGTAGATAAACACTGTGTCCACGTCTCTGATTTATTCTGCAAACATGGAGAAGGATGCTGAATTGCATTCATAATTTCAATTGTCACTGCTGGTGCATTGCTCTACGGTTTTGCTGGGGTTTTCATACAAATGAAGTCGGTCTTTTTTGATAGGAGTATGTTCTTAGTGACACATTGTGCAAGATGAAAGGACAGATTTGCTTGTTAATTATTTCTTTGAGATCACTGCTGGTGGCACGCAGAATGCTACAACAAACGTCTGCTAGCAGGGTTAGTGTGGGCTCCTGTTCTGCTCTCAGACTGGGCAGACAAAAGCAATTTGTCTACATTTTTAAAACCATGAACATTCAGAGAGATGACTGTTTTTCAAAGAGGCCTAGAGAAACTAAAGATAACTTCTTCATAAGTTCCTTGGGGCAAGGCATTAAAACTTAGGTACTTGCCAGCAGAGATTGAATACCTGGTGTTTCTGAGGATTTCACCAGGCAGTTAGGTGCTTACTTCCATTACAATAAAACATGAATTTGTAAGTCACATCTAAAAAGGAGCTATGGTGTAGGCTCAGCTGAACTTAGAGCCTTTGAGATTGCTAGGGTGCTATTTCCACTGAACATCTGGCAATGATGCATGAAACAAAACCAAAGTATCAGAAAGTGAGAGTCCTGTCTGCCATCTGAAGTGATCTGAATCCTGCCTTCAATGTGCTGAGGGCACCTTGAAAACTGTGGCACCATCTTTGAATTCATTTGGAAGTTTCTGTGAGATTGTGTTAGTGACTTGGCTTACCTTTAATAGGTGGAAGTGTGTTAGCAGAGTCTTATGTCGGATCTGCTGATTCCAGACCTGCATCCTGAACACAACAGATTTCTGTTATTGAAAGTCCAACTGCGTTTTACGTACGTATTAAATTTCAAGTATGAATTACAACAGTTGTGCATCAAAGATCGCTAGCAGCTAGCATGCAAATGCTGTATCTAAAGAGAATAAAGCCCTTCTGATGGCAGTGGAAACTGTCAAAGTTAAATTAAAAATTAAAAATCCACTCTGTGGCTGCAGAGACACCAGGCTGCCTGACAGCCCCAGAGCCAAGGAGTTTAAACTGCAGCGGTATCTATCTGCTCTCCTGTGCTTCTGCCTTTACCCCAGTCAGCTTCTGTACCACAGTGAAATATGGCCATTGTGCCTATGAGATGTTGGGCCTGGATGGAAGGGAAGAGAAACAACATTCTTGCAACTGTTTTTTTTTTTAACCTCTCCAATTAGCAGATATTCAATTTACTTGTTCCTTAGCTTGTAACATATTAAGATGACAGGTTTTTCCTTTTTTTTATATGCTTTATGATAATGTACTGCTGCATATTAGTCACTCAAAATGAAGATTGATGTGGTCTTCAGCAGTAAAAGAAACACTGGCTACGAAGACAAGGGATGTTTTCATAAATTAATGCCTGCACTACATGTAGGTGTACCAATCAGTAAGTGAGGAGCAGGTGATTGGGGTGGTGTTGAGAGCATGAAATGCCATTGGAAAAATCATGAGGCTGCATCTCTGTGCCTGCCCACCCTGCCTCCACCATCTCAGCTCACTGATGTTCCTGAATCTCTGTTGCAGTTCTTTCCATTTTACTGTTCTTGTCTGCCAATGTGAAAGCAGTGTTGTAATGAAGGATAAAACTTTCCGTAAGCAATTTACTGCCATATACTGTATAGACCTCTGGAAATCAGTTGTGTATTGCTTGCTGCTGTTTGAGTTACTTCTCAGATTGCCTAAATTAGAGATTAGGACAATCTCTGGTTAAGCAGCCTATATGCTGCTTGAAACTCAAAAGGAACAATGCCTTTATTAGTTAAGCATTGAGCCAAAATCTCTGCTTGGGGACACCTCTATGTGAGATGACTTTAAAAATCTGGCTCAGGAATTTGAAGTTTCTGTTGAAGTGCAGTGAGACCACTTTCATGGGGAGCCACCCCAGTTCATGCTACAGAGCAGGGAATCAACCCTGTAAAAGCACTGGGTGCTGCTGGTCTACAATAGGGTGGTGGGCCTTAAGAAAAGGGGAGCCAGCATTATGCAGTACTTTTGTTAAGATATTTATTACTGCTTCATGTGATACTTGAGAAATGGGTTACAATGAGATGCAGGTGTGACTGAACGATCATACAGGTAGAACAAAAAATGTGGTACATTACTGCATGTGGGTTTTAATATTTCTTAGAGTTGTGTGGGCTGGCAGGACGCCGTGTTGGCAGGCAGGATGTCCCCTGGTACGTGTGTGGTCCTCAGCAGCATCCCCGTGCTTCAGTTGGCGCCGAGCTGTTAGAGGCCGAGCCGGGCAGGCAGCGGTGCTGCACGGAGCTGTGATGTTTGCTTTGCAGACAGAAGGAGCTCAGGCAGAAATTGGAGCCTCCGGTCGCTTGCTACACATCCTCTGTATTCTCTCCCTCTGAGTAAGCCATGTGAGCCGCATCTCCCCCTGCTGTGACTTATTGGCTGCCGTCAGCTCTGAGTAATGCAGCTTCCACGCAGGGCGTTGCTGGAGGGTGTGAGCAGACCAGCTGGTACCTGTGGCTGACGTGCAGCTCCGTAACATCAAGCGATTCACACGGGCACCTGTTTGTTTTTTATGACATATTATTCCTCGGTTTTATTAATCGCTAATCAAGTAATATATAGTAATTATTTGCTCCGTGGTAAAATGTCCTGAGTGTCCACTTGTAAACTTGCTCCAAGTGAGAAACTGTACTCGGGGGCGGCCAGAGCGCAGCCCCTGCGTGCGGGAGCCGCGCCGCCCCGCCTGTTGGCGGCCGGGAGGAGCCGGGGCGGAGAACGGCCTCGGGTGGGCAGAAATTGTAAATAATTACGCTCCACACTCTTAGATGCCGCGAGCGATAGAGCAAAACCCTCCGCGGCAATTTCTGACGCTCCTTCTTGAAACGCCCCAGTCTCTTTTTCACCCCCATTGTGAGAGCTGAGCGCCGCTCCGACCGCCGCCGCGCCAGTGCTCCGTGCGGCGCCGGCCGGCAGCTCGGCGGTGCTCCGCGCTCCCGGCGTCCCGCTGGGCTCGTGGCGGGCGGTGGGCGCTCGGTGCCCCTCTCAGCCGCGGCCCCGGGACCGGGCGGCGTCAGCGGCGGCCGCAGCCAACCGGCGCGAGCCCCCGCGCGCCCGCCCCGCCTATAAGAGCCGCGGGCCGGCGGCGGCGCGAGAGGAGCGCGAGGGGACGGGGCGGGCGGCTCCCGGCTCCCGGCAGCGCGGCGGGATCGGCCGTCGTCCCCGTCCCGCCGTCGCCGCCCGCCGTCGCTCCGCGCGGCCGCCGGGATGCTGCCCGTGTTCGCCGGGCTGCTGCTCGCCGTGGCCGCGGGCGGCCGAGGGGCGGCTGGGGAGCGGGAGAGCCCTCCGGGCAGCCGCTTCGTCTGCACCTCGCTGCCGTTGGACGCCGCCGGCGCCGGCTGCCCGCTGCCCCCGGTGCCCGCGCAGGGCGGCTCGCCGCCCCCCGAGGAGGAGCTGAAGGCCACCGTGCTGCAGCTGCGGGAGACGGTCCTGCAGCAGAAGGAGACCATCGGCAGCCAGCGGGAGGCCATCCGCGAGCTCACCGGCAAGCTGAGCCGCTGCGAGGTGACCGACGGCAAGGGGCCGTGGAAGAAGGAGAAGGGCAAGGACACGATGGGCGACCTGCCGCGGGACCCGGCGCAGGTCATCGACCAGCTGAGCCGCACCATGCAGACCCTGAAGGACCGCCTGGAGAGCCTGGAGGTACGGCCGGCCGGCTGCCCCGCTCGGCTCCGAGCTCTCCTCCCGGCCGGGCGCTGCGCGGGGCTCGGCTTCTCGGCACCGCTCTGAGGGCTGCTCCGCCACCGCGCGCCTCCGTTGTGCGGGGATGGGGCGCGGTTTTCCTGCCTCGGTTCCCGTGCTCGCGTCTGAACCTCTTCTTCTAGAGATGTGACTCGATGGGGCTCGAGGTGCGGTGACGGGGGCGCTGCCGGGCTGGCCGCGGGGACGGGGCGATGTATTTAGGGCTGACGTTGGATAGAAAGAACGCGCCCCGTGCCACCGACTGAAAGGGGGAACTCCGGAGGATTGCCGACTGCCTCCGGGCAGCGGCTGAGTGGTGCGAGTGGAAATAATTGATAGGGAGATTCCCCACGGGAGCGGCGCTGGGCGCTGTGCTCCTCCGGCCGTCCTCCAGGGGTTCGCCGATGCCCGGGAGGATGGAGAGCGGCTGCTTTGGCGTTCCTCTGTGAGGTGCGAGCAGCGGGCTGTTTGTCACGTGCAGTTCGGTTGTGTAACAACCTTCTGTTAACGCTGCCGGCTTCTCGGGGCGCCTCGTGCTGCCGTTATGTTCTTAGGGCTGCAGAAGGGAAACACCGCTGGAGTAGGAGGCAGTGGAGCTGTAGGCTTCCTTGTGTCTGAGATCCCAGCTTTATTTAACATGTAGGTTTTCTTGGTTGTGGTTTAGATAATTCTTTCACTCTTAGTGTCTACAGCTGGTCTAAAGAGCATCCGGCTCCATTCTCTGCAAACTGAAACTGTGGGAACTTGAATTTGGTAAATTTGCTTTTGAACTACTTCAACTTTTTAGTTTAAATAATAGTTTTTCTGTTTGGCAACATCATTCGCAATAAGAAAAGGAAAGACTGACTAATGTGCCATGTATACCCATATTAATGGAAATGCATCAGACCTGCCCTTCCACATTGATTTCACTGAATTTGAAGGTATGAAGGGGCTCCTTTGTATGAAATGCAGGAAACCTCTTATAGAAGTGCCCTTCTGTTTTCAGGACATATTTTGCTATGGTGCTGATAAAAGCACTGAACTTGACAAGCACTAAAAAGCAATGCCTCTTTTGTGCTTGCTGGAGAGCTCAGTGATCCTGCTTCCCCCCCTTGAGTCAGAAATGTCCACGTTTAACTTTCTGTTTTAGAAATGATGATGTTTTTTCCTTCTTTCCCCTGAAGCACCAACTCCGAGCCAACGTGTCGTACGCAGCGCTGCCCAATGACCTGCGGGAGATGCTCCAGCGGAGGCTTGGAGATCTGGAACGCCAGCTGCTGAGCAAGGTGGCTGAGCTTGAGGATGAAAAATCTTTGCTTCATAATGAGACGTCGGCCCATCGGCAGAAGACAGAGACAGCATTGAATGCGTTGCTAGAAAGGGTGTCTGAATTAGAAAAAGGTAATTTGCACAGAATCTAAACTCTTCTCCACGCTGATTTACATTGCCTTCTCTCTCCATCTAGTACACTGGTATAAACGTGTGCCTTGAGGGAAAGACAGCTGCCTTCTGGTTAAGGTGCTGGACTAGATATTAGGTAACAGTGCTAATGCTTCGATTCCCTTCTTCCTTCTATCCCAGGCTTCCTGCTTGTCAGGCTTCTGCAGGCTTTGGCTTTCTGTCTCTTACCTTGACATATGGGGCTGTTTAGGATGAAATTCTCAGTGTTTGTGAGATAGAGACATGTTAAGGAGATGAGTGAAAGCTGGAAGTAGTACGATATCGATGTGCGATGAATGCCGCGGTAATGCTGAGTACACATTTAAGATCTACCTTTCTTTATTGGGAATTCTATGGGCTACATTAGCACAACTGCCTTTGATGTAATAATTGACATCTTTTCCAGAACCATTTCCTGTTGCTTTTTGAAGTATCACTGCTGGGATAAAGTCTTTTCATTTTATTGCTGGTTATGCCACTGAGTAACAGCAAGTACTTGAATTGTGTCCTGTTCCCAAGTAGCCCTTGGAGTTTACAGTAGATTATACATGGTGCCACTGGAGGACACTCTCTTAATCCCAGTCATTTTGATGATACTTAGATTAATTATTGCTGAGACCTGTACAGTTGAATAGAATTCATTCATTTGAATTACAGAAGCCCATAGAAATGAGCTGAAGATCAGAACTGTCTTCCTGTTTAAGAGTGGGCAGTACCAGTAGATATCGCTGTCCAGTCTTTAAAAGATTTTTCCAAGGTAAATGGCTCTGTGCTTGAAAACAGCCCTATGGACATGCTTTCAAAATGATGTGAACACATGTATCTCATTAATTTAAAAATGAAGGCTAATGAGTCAATTTTATAATACTGTACTGTTGTTTTTAAATAAAAGTGTGGAAGGTGAGGAAGGAGGGAGAGGATTTCCTCTACTGACCGTTATTTAATGCTTTCCCTAGAGCTGAAGTAAGGCCTACACTGTATCTAATATTCTGGAGAACTGGTAGTCTGTCAGTGTCTTACGTGGCAAGTATTGCTAGTCCTGTCTCTGAAAGATGTGACTCATATCAGTAAGTCATCAGAAGGAGAGATGTAGCAGTGGGAGAACAAGGATGTGTAATTTATTTTGGTTAAAAATAGCCCCTTCCCAGCTCTGTTTTTTGTGTGTGGAGGAGAAGGCTCCAGGGAACTGGAGTGTTGGGGCCAGCAACCAAGGCACAGGTTTGCTTATGGTTGTGTAATTTGCTGTCTGTTACATTGCAGTTTGCTTAGCTCTTCTGTGCCTTTGGCTCCTCAATCAAACCAAAGTGAGGGTAATAACGATCTAAGAACTTCATCAATCTGTAGACTGCACAAAGTCAATGTTTGTTGTGATCTGACATCTCTTAAAAATAGGATTTCTCCTGTGCTTTTATTGTAAACGACATACTCTTTAGCATCTGTTCCAGTCAGCTAACGAGCGTGCCATAAGCTCAAGTGAGGTAAATGGAGAAGCACTGACTTTCTCAGGTGGCTGCATGGACTTGGGGTTTCTGTATGTAATTGTGACAGAAGTGTGAGTATCGTTGGGCAGAGGAGCTTGAGGTTCACACGGCTCCCACGATCGCCAAAGTCTTCTGGTCATTTCTTCACCTGTTGTTTGCTGCTACTGCAGTACGTGATGCGATAAAAAGAAGGGCTGAGGGGAGGAATGGTCCTGCAACCGATGGTGCCTGACCTTAACTGTGGTGTGTGGTGCTGCTGGAAACGTGGACAAGTCACTTGCTGTTTTTTAAATCTAAATCCCTCTAAAAGGGAATGACTGTCATCCTTCTTGTTCAAAATTAATTGAGATTCCTTAGGGCAAGGACTGTCTTTCGCTGTGCGTGTTCATCTTGGTTATACTTTTATTCTTTACCAATCTATTATTGCTTCCTTTAGCTCTTCCACACAGTGACTAATGCTCTCAATGGAGTACATTTTCTATTATACATGAGACAGGCTGTGCCATCCTAGTGGAGACTGCTGAACATTGGCCCTAAGACCCTGTTTTTATTTGCTTATAAATGTGGAATATCTGCAAGTTCCTCAAGAAAGAGCTCGCTCTTCTTCCACCCACTCTTTTTGTGAAAAAATACAGTCACAACACTTCCACTTCTGAGAATGGGAACTGACAGAGTGCCAACAGTTTAAAAATTTCATATAAAAATTGTGGCAACCTTTTGTGGCAGCAGCTCTTCATTTGGATGGGAGTGAAAATTTGGCAGGGGATGTCATTTGTTTCAGGAATGTGGATAAAGATGGGGTGGGGATCAGAAGAACAGGTTGCTAAAAGGTTGAAGTTGATGCTCTACTGCAAAACTGTAGGGTTTTATTTAGTGACACAATTTGGGATTTCTCTCTTCTTGTGAGTATATCTAAATCTAAAACATTACTTGCAGGTAGCTACATCAGTGTCCTGTGTCTTGGCACTTCTCAACTTCCTCACGTTTTTCTTTGGGTCACTTTGAACTTCAGCCTTATATTTTGGTTCAGATCTCCAGAACAGGTTTATGGAATGTGTTTATTCTTGTTACTTCAGACTGGCCAGCCAGAATGGGAGCTTCAACCTGTTACCTCAGCCAGCTACCTGCAAAATGGGGATACTGCTGCTGGCTCCCTGTGTGGGAGTATTAGGAAAAGAGGCATCATTTGTGAAATGCTGTGATGCTTTAATAATGAGCATACCAGAGATTCCTTGTTTAGCAGCAGTAAATATCTTTTAATACAGTCTGAACTGTGTGAAATAAGAAGGTCTGTAGCCGTGAGCTGAGTGATGAAGAAAGAAAAATATTTAATAGCTTCTCATTAGTTGTGTGCCATCCAATATTTTGCTCTGAGCAAGCAGGAAAACTAAGCTAAGTAATTAGCACGTTGTATATAAAATCTAGTTGTATTTTAACTGTGCTGTAGAATCAACATTTGCTAATACTGCTTCAATATATTTCTGTGTACCCTCTCTAAAGTGAGTAAGATTAAAGATTCTCAATATAAATTATATTTTTTCCTAACTTTAATTACATATACGTTGTTTTGTCTTGCATTAAAGGCTTTTCTTCCTCAATGTCATTCTAGGTAACAGTGCGTTTAAATCACCTGATGAGTTCAAAGTGTCCCTTCCTCTTCGCACCAACTACTTGTATGGAAAGATCAAGAAGACTCTGCCAGAGCTGTATGCTTTCACTGTGTGTTTATGGCTGAGATCAAGTGCTTCTCCTGGAATCGGCACTCCGTTCTCATATGCTGTTCCTGGTCAAGCTAATGAAATTGTCCTCATAGAGTGGGGGAATAATCCAATTGAACTGCTAATCAACGATAAGGTGAGAATCAATTAGCTCCTTTATTCATCCGTGTGCTCAGAATAACACTTGATGTTTCTAGGCCTGAACCCTTGATACCTCTCAGAACTCCTTGGCTCCCTGTGAGCAGCCAGCTCTAGAGCTGTGCCTGCTTTTCTGTTGTGCCCATCTGCTGTGAACAGAAGTACTCTCAACAAATGGTGCACGTCTTTGTGCACTGCGTGGGCATAACGGAGAGGTGTGCACCTCTGGAGTTACCAGCAGGTCTTGGCTTCTTGTGATTGTAACCCTCTGTTTGCTTTTAAGGAACAGAAACAGTATTTGAAGCCACACTACTATGACACCTGTGAGATCTAAGCCAACTGCAGTATTTTTATCTTTATAATCCCACAAGTTATGTTATTGTAAGACTATGCTGGCAGAAAGCAGAGAACAAAAGGCACGTCGTTGTTGCTGGCTTTATTATGTTTAGTGACTGAACATCAGCTTAAATATAACTTTTCAAGACTTTGTCTTAATACAGAAAGTGACAATTAATGGAATGCTCCCTTTTTCCTCACTCTCAGCGTGAGTTAGTCACAAAATGTGAGTAACTGCTGTTAGCAGAGTGACTGGGTTTGAATCCCTGTGAGTGAGACGAGATTCTTAACTTTGCCCAGGCTGCACTGTAGCACAACTTGCCTTCAGGCACCATCCCTTGTTTTTCTTGGCCTGTTAGGTTTCCTGGTAACTCACTGCTCTCCAAGGGTTTGGGTGTTTACAGATTTACGGGGCAACCCGGCTGCTTCAGTCATGTGTCTCGTTAAGGACTTGTAACAGTCCTGCCATCCTCCCAGATCGATAAAAATAAAAGCAGATTATTTGTAATGGTTTTTGGAGGAGAAGGAGATGTGAGCGTGCTCGTCTTACCAATTTTTTCTTATGTTGGTTGTACTAATGTTCTGCTATGTTTTTCTTTCTCCCACATCACAGCTGCTTTGTAGCCCACTGCATTTGTGTCTTTGACTTGAGTAGGTTTTTAGCTCAAAGTCCTAAGGGAGCATCATCCCTGCATAACAGCTGCCATGAAGCAGACCACTCTGTACGTCAGAGTTCTTACTGCAAATGGTGCAGACAAACCTTAGACCTGAAGATAAACTTAGCGTGTAAGCACTGGGTGGAAACTTCAGGTGAAGCAGTGAGATCTAAGTAAATTCCTGAAGACAAGACTGCTAGGACAAAGTAGGAGAATGTGAATTAGCATCTGCTCCTGATGTTCATGCCTGTGCAGATACTGGCCCTTTAGAAATGTTGTGCTTGAACTGACAGACTGGTTTGCAGCATTCAGTATTCTTTAGAATTATTACTATTGTTGTTTTTGTAGGTTGCCCAGCTTCCTCTCTTCATTAGTGATGGCAAATGGCATCATATCTGTATAACGTGGACAACAAGAGATGGAATGTGGGAGGCTTTTCAGGATGGAGAGAAGCTTGGCACTGGAGAGAATCTTGCCCCTTGGCACCCAATTAAACCTGGAGGTGTCTTGATCCTGGGTCAGGAGCAGGTATGTGAGTGACTGAGTTCCACTGGTGTGTGTGGTTTGTTTAAAAAAAAAAAAAAGAAAAACAAAGAAAAACAAAACAAAAAAAAACAATTAAAATAAGGAAAATTAAGACTCTCCAGACATATAGCTGTGAGAAAAAACTGTTAAACGATTGGTCTTATTGTATATGTGCTACCTAAAAGATGAAAAGAAAGAAACTTTGTATAATTACATAAAGTTTTGTTTCATTTATGAAATATTCAGAACGTTCATGTTGGAAGTTATTCCCACTCTAAATGCTACAGAGTGCAGCTGAATAATGCCTTAAATGAAGTTCCTGCAGCTGGATTGCTGACAGCTATCAGTGTAGCCAATGAAGTTACAGAAAGTAACAATTAGAAAGGAGCTTCCTGAAGCAGATCATGCTTGCTTCAATTTTTTTTTTTAATTGAAGCCAAATGGGCCATCCCCCTTAACAGATTGTTTGTTTGTGTATTTTTCCCTCCCCTCCATCTCCTCGTTATCCCAAGAATAGTTGGAATGTTAGTCCTAGAGCCTCAGATCAGACAAGGGAAAGCTTATGTGGGGTGAGCAGACCAGCAACGGTGGGAACTGGAGAGCATGGGGGTTTATCAGGATCTTTTATAGATGCACTTTCTAGGGAGAATTCCCTCGAGGCTGAATTGTATGGCTTTTCAGGTACGTAACATACCATATCTTTACAATAGTGGAATTCATGACTAATTTAGAAGTTCATGTCTACTTTAAAGATGAGTCTGAAGTCAAAGTTTTGAATTCTACATCTTATATTTGGTTTCTCATTAAAGGTGTAAGTAAATAACTCTCCAAATGCAAATGCTAAGAAAGTTTAGATATTAGTATTGCCAACAGAACACAGTTAGGAAATTGAGGATGAATCATTTCTGAATATGGAAAAAAGAAAGGATTTTTAATCTTTCATCTGGTTAACATCTCTTTGATCTATTGCCCATGAATTCTCTGTTATCTCACATTTTTCTCTATTTTTTGGATTTTTGTGTGACATTGACTTGTAATACATATCAGAAAATATTATTTCTCCAGGATTTTGAAGTTCACAGCTTGGCAAGACAGTGAAGAATTAATTTTGCTCTGGTGCTGATTTCAGTGGATCTTTATCCACGACATAAGTGACAGAATGGTAAATTCAGAACCCTAACACACTTGACATAACAGATGCTCCAGCTTACTTACATTATTAAATGGCTGGCAACCTTTCTGTAACTCTCTTTTACCACTTTCCTGTGCAGTGCTTGGCCTTGTCCTATGCTGTCAGGTTTCTGTTAGTGTGATTACACAGTATGATTTCGGTCTTCAAGTTGAGCAAACAAACACTTCAGGCTTGTGCAGTAACAGGTGGAGTTACTCACGTGGTTCAGCCAGCAGAAGCCTCTGTATCCAGACCCAAAGATCCCATCTTGTGGTCCCTGTGGGTAATTGACAAAGTGCTGCAGCTACAGTTTAATCTCTAACTGTAAAGCTTTGAGCGTAGCTCTTGCTGAAGCTTTCTTGTGCCACGCTTGCAAAATGGATCCTAAGTCAGACTTGGTATCTAAAGCTGCCTTCCTGCTGCATCACTTGGGGGCAGGGCTGGTGAAGTGGAGCTCTAACTGCAAGTGACTGTTGTACCATTGTGTGGTGATATGCAGTTACTACTGTTTGCTTTGAATAAATCTAAACCATTTCAGACTGGGGCTTTTAACCGTTTCACAGAACAACATCTTGTTCACAGGGGTCCTTCCAGAAGCTTGAAGGTGCTCTTCAGTGCAATTCTGTTCTTCCTTCTAGCAGGGTGGCGGCGGGTGGGAGGGTCTGCAAGTTTGGTGGAAAAAAATGCTGAAATAACCTTCTCATCTAATCCTAATTCTTGTGTGCCTAAAGGACACAGTTGGAGGAAGATTTGATGCAACTCAGGCCTTCGTTGGGGAGATGAGCCAGTTCAATATATGGGACAGGGTATTAAAAGCTGAAGACATCATGAATATCGCTAACTGCTCTACCAACATGCCTGGCAACATCATCCCCTGGGTTGATAACAACGTGGATGTGTTTGGAGGTGCAACTAAGTGGCCTGTGGAGACATGTGAAGAGCGTCTGCTAGATTTGTAGCTGCAAGCGTTTCCCATCAAGTGCCCCCTTTTAGTAGGACAATCTCCTGTGCGATATGAAGCACTGGTTTTTCTCTCTGCCCTTCCGTAACTCCTCAAAAATAGAAAATAAAGAAATTGAATAAATGGCCTCAGTGCAAAAATGAATAAATAAAATAATAAAAAGCTGTTAGTTCTGGGGCACTGAGCCTGACAATGGAAGAAGCACTTGTTGGTTAGAGCAGCCCTTCCTTCCTGCTGGCCTGATCCAAAAACACGCTTTGGGCTGAGCTGCCTTTGGCTCAGGCCCTGCTACAGGGCATCAGTTCTCCTGGCAGGGTGGGGAGCAGCCTTGCACAGGTTCACCTTGGTACTCCTTTTGATAACGTGTGTTCTGACAAAGCACTGAGATTAACAGGCTAAACGGGAGCCCTTCCTTCCAGTCTATTGTCTCCCCTTTGAATTGAAGCCATTCTTTTTTAGCCCTTTTTAAAGAAATCACCTAATCCTTATATTGTGATTATGTGCAACTGTGAGTAGAGCAGAACAGCCACTGTCTGAGTGCAACAGTCTTGCTTCTTAATTCTCAGATCAGAAATCTTTATTTTGTGATCAGGAGGCAATGTTATCTGACAAATGCAATTCTGGTTCAATGTGAAGATAGGGCTGTGGCCAGCGTAGCTCCGTGGAAGCAGAGAAGCTGTAGGTGGGGCTCTGTCCCAAAGCCTGTCTTTCCCTGGCCAGGATCCCAGGAGAGATGGTTGGATGAAGGATTGTGTTTGTATTTTCTGTAGGTGAATGTACTGAATTTGCAGTGACCTGGCCTGTAAACTTTTCTCTATTGTTTCTCTTGCTTTATTCCTTGTCTTTTTTTTTTTTTTTTTAATATACAAGCTGTGAATAAGTGAATTTCTGTTCTGTTTTGCTTTGAAAGGCCTTTTTATGAGCAAGTGCCAAAGTTCAGTTTCTGCTTGCTGAGAATCACTATATATTTTTCCAACATAAGTCTTCTGCGCTGTTTTCTATGTTATTATAATGGTCCTATGTAAAATGTGCTGGTTTTTCAATTCTTGCTGACTGTCTCTTTTGTAAGCACTGGGCTGAATGCAATATCTTTTAATTTTCTCTAAATATTTTGCAAACAGTGTTGCTATTTCCTTGGCATCGATGTGACTACTTAGTTTGTGGCTCGCAGATAGCAAATGCACTGTACTGGGAAAGAGTGAATACTTTTGTTATTTAAAAGAAAAATAATTTAAAAGGGTGGGGGAATTTATATAGCTAAATATCATATTTTATTTTTCATATGTTTGAATTGTAAGAATAAGATGGTGACGGTCCCATTTGTAGGCTGAAGTTACATATTTCCATTAATATGTAGTATGCTGTTCTTAAAAAAAAAAAAAAAAAAAACAACAACAAAAAACAAACCAACTTTTAATTAAAATGCAGTGTAAAATGAGTCTCTTAATTACTGTGGAGTCACATAAAACACGGAATGTTCTTTCTCATTATTGCCGTGGGTTCTGCTAATATTTCTGGTGGCTGCTAACAGTACAGACCTTTTCTGAGGTTACCTGAATTCTCAGCGTGTCCTAAGTCTTGGCCAAAAGGAGCTGCTGGAGCTGGAAGCCTGGGTGTGGGCATCACAGCCTCTGTGCCTGCTGGCTGCTGCTGAGGTTGGGGGTGATGTGGGCACAGCGGGTGGTGGCTGTTACCATTGTGAGGGTGGTATGGAAGTTTGCTGCTGGGGCACGGTGCTGGTTGGAGGCAACACGAGGGTCCCAAACTGCTCTGAGGTCAGGTCAACAAGCAGGGTGAAATCATCCCTTAGGATGTGGTAGCACTGCATTTGTGCAGGGTCTGCCAGCAAGGCAGTGCTCTGCTGGGTGGGTGAGCGAGCTGAGGGCGCTCAGTCTGAGAGCAACCAGCTGCAGCCGCCGTGCTTCCAGCCACGGAGGGTCTGTGGTTCTGTGGAGCATTACACCATCAGGTTTCAAAGATCTCATTTGGATTGGTTTAAAAAACAAATCCCCACACCAGTGCTGGCATTTCCTGCCCCCAAAAGACCAACGCACCGCCATGTCCCAATGCTTATGTCCCAAAGGCAGGGATAGTGCAATGTTTTGTTCTGTTCTCAGCTCCTGACATCATCTTATGGGCCAGAGAGCAGCACTGGCATTGGCCTCCCTGCCAACATCGGCCTCCCTCTCAGTCCACCTGTCTTGGTGATTATTTTGTTCTCCAGAACCGACAGAACTGAAGTCTGGCTTTACACATAATGAGGGCTGCCCTCTCAGGGAATGGCTTTTTGCAGACTCTCTTCTGCTCTTGAAAGAGTGCAGTGCTGGTGAAATTGTTGTGAAGGCTTTCCTGCATGGCTGGGAGCCTGCAGGTGGAAGTGCTTTGTCATTAACACTGCTTCAGCGTTGGGATTTCTTTGCTAGCAGAGGGTTTTTGCACTTCGGTTGGCTGTGCTCATCTTTTTTTGGAGGGTTATTCAACCCCACTCCCAGTGTTAGGTCTGCTTTTGGGACTGGCTAACAGCAAACACCTGGTGACCCCAGCTGGATGGGAGTATTTGTGAGCTGTGATTGCTGGGTGGGGAGCAGTGAGCACAGCTGGTTGTGGGCTTCTGCATCCTGCCCTGCCTGTGCTGGGGAGGAGATGGAAGGGCCCGAGCACAGGGGAGTGTAACAGAGCTTCTCTTGGATGTGGAAATCAGTGCTAAGAATAGTTGCTTTCTTCCAAGGTACGTCAAGGTGTTTGGGTGAGAGGGCATGTGGGGACATTCATCCTGTTACAACCTGACCCGGGGCTCAGATGGATCTTTTCTGCTAAAGATAAACAACTTAGTCCCGTGTTGTTGTTTGATTACATAACTGAGATGGTGGGGATTTGAAGGCAGGGTTTTGTGCTTCTGGTTTTTTTATTAGGTGCTGGCTCTTTAGTAAAAGCTAAAGCTGGGCAGTGTGTATTCAACTGAGAAATCTTTTAAATATGTATATGTATTTACTATGTATCTTCATCTTTCTTTGGTGCAATACTAGCTTTTCATTAAACAGAAGAAAAAAGATATTTTTTTGATGATTTATCTTGCAATGGAAATCTCTTGCAATTACTCTGCTGCTCCATGTGCTGGGGATCACGTGGTTTGCCTGCATTTATGAGCAGATGGCAACACTGGAGTAAGTATTGCCATGATCCAGTAGCTGTGCTGTCTGTGGAGCGTGGAAGTGACAAGACAACCTTCGTTCCCAAACTGCTCTGAATACACAGAAGTAATAACTTAGGAAAAGCTGAGTGACAGCTAGAGCACCTGGAATGCATGATAATGCTGATTTCTAGAAAATCTATTTCTGTTTGAAAACAGAGCTGAGATTCCTGAGAGCGGTGTGGGTGACCTGAGAGGTCAGCATGCTGGGGGCTGTGAGCCAGCCAGGCCTGGCTGCAAGGCAGGAGTGGCTGCTGGTCAGCTGGTTTCTGTGCACTTTTGCTTGTATGGATTTAATGGTCGTTGAGTGACAAAGGATCGAGGATTTGGACACGTTCCTTCAAAGATGCTTGTTTTTTTTGTTTGTTTGCTTGTTTGTTTGGCTGGTTGGCCATTAAAAAGAGCAGATCGTGTTGTATGTTTGCAGTCTGCTTGGCTGCATGCTTGCTGTCTATCCAGGCTGAGCGCTGAGGAGGACCTGAGCTGTGAGAGGGATACAGCTCCTCTGTGTGGACGGTGGTTCCTGCACTGCGCTTGCTCATTAAAGCCTTAGTTTAAGTCTCAGGAGGGTGAGGAAGACAACAGCAATTCGTACTAGTGAAACTTTGCCCCTGTTTTTGTGCACATTTCTACAGTGGTTGAATATGTGAGATCAGAGAGGAGCAGCTGAGTCTGTTTTGTCCCTGAGGGCCGTTTTTGCTCGGGGCGTTTCCTGAGGTGAGCTGTGGGCTGGGGTGAAACGGCTGCGCTGGGTTGGGTGCCTGAAGGTGGCATCTCCTCAGTCTCTGCAAAATCTGGTCATACCTCTACAGTTCGGGTTTATTTCTGGTTCTCTGATGGCAGCTGTCTTTATCTGTGAGGATTTTTCAGCCGGTTACTATGTAGTTATTATCAGCTCTCCAGCTTGAGAGGGGAGATCAGCATTCCTCTATGGCATCATCATTCAGCAAAGCCTGGATCTTGCAGGAGAGTGCAGATACAGAAGAATGCAGCCTGGCAGAGGTGCTGGCCACTGATCATGCTCCCTTGATGCTGCTGTAGGAACCTGAGTGCGGGCGCAGCAAGGGCTGCCGCTGACTGGAGATCTGCTGATAGAGAGAGTGCCATCAAAGTCACTGCAGGAATGAAAGGGCTCTGTTGGTGCAGGGAACCCGTGGGTTTTGCAGGTTGCAGGGGACTCTTTGTAGAGATCTTTCACCAGAACTCCTCTTCTTTTTATCTTGTGTGTAAAGAAGAAAACCGGACCTTGGTAATGTTGGTAGTTTAGCTGTGAGGCTTAAATAATACATGAGTTTTTCAGAGCTGAAAATCTTCTGGAAAGAATGGAATTAATTGCACCCCTGGCTATGAGCATTTCTAAAAGCCTGCCCTTGGAAAAGTTACGTTTGCTCCTCAGCAGGAGCGCTGGGCTGAGCCAGGGCCGCGCTTTGCAGACGCTCCCTGATGGCTTCGTGCCGTTAGGAGCGCTTTGCTTTGTGCACTTCGGGAGCTCTGGAAGCTCACATGAGGCGGCCCCAGCACCCACCTTCTGCTTCAGCCAGCAGCCCTGCTCCTGCCCGGGGCTGTGCCACAAAGGGCGCAGCGCAGCGCTGTGCCACAGCTCGACTGATCCCGTTACTGCAGGCCGGCGTGTGTAGGGCTGCAGGGAGCAGAGCTCCTCCTGCAGGGTTGGGCCGCTGGCACGGCGTGTGCTTTTCTTTCAGAGTAACAGATGGTTTTTTTGCAATTCTTTGCCCTGCTTTTTAGAGCGCTAAGCTGTGCCCATCATTTGTTCTGCGGGGCTTGCTAAGATTAATGGTTAGAAATTGAGAAAGGTGACTGAATGAGTATTTCTTAGAAGGTGTTTTTTTAAGGTACTAGAAGCCTTTTGCTTAGTATTTAAAAAAAAACAGAAAACATTCTATGGTCAGCTTAAAATCATTACTCCATTGCGCTGGGCTGTTCACCCAGGCTTATCTCCACAATAAAAAAGTTGCCCTCCTGATCCCAGTGGAGAAAAGGAAACCATTTAAAGAACATCCTCGTGTTAAAAAGACTGTGTTAAAGCCTCCTGGGTAACAGCGCTGGGCACGCAGGTGATTTAGAACTTTCTGTTTGACCGTGGTGCTTGCTGACTGCTGCCTCGTTGCAGAGAGAAGCTGCCGTGCTGTCGTGCTGTGGTCTCAGACACGGCTCCTCTTTTCCTATAGCAGCACACGGTTGCTTTTCTCCCCTCCCCTGGAGGGCTCAGAGCGGGCAGCAGCCTTAATGCTGGCTCAGTGCTGGGCAGAGGCTGTCCCACACATCCTCCTCCTGCCCCAGCAGCAGCAGAGCTCCTGGGAGCAGCGTTGTGCTCTGCCTCCTAATTTACTGTGGGGTTTCCCTGGGGAGGTATTTGTGACCGGCAAATTAGAACAGACGTAGGTTTGCTTTGCAGTGATGAAGCTGTTTGCAGGAAGGTGCTCTATTTCAGATTAGAGATTCTCTTTTTATATTACCTTAATTTTTTTTTTCCTATCCTTATGACCAATTATAAATGGTTGATAAACACTTGTAATAAAATACAGATCTGCATTGGCAAATGATCTTTTTTTTTTTTTTTTTTTTCCATTACAGAAAGCTGTTACTTACTGTGTAGGGAGTACATCTTCTCCTAAGAGATCAAATTATTTATGAGAATGCTTTAATTAGCTTTTTCAATGCTTTCAAGGTCTTGGAGCTTAGAAGCCAGCTCCAGGGATAGATGCAGTAGGTAAATACCTCTCTGTCTCACCTATCATTTAATATAACTGGAAAACAACAGTCAGTGTGATGCACTTGGGATCTATGGGGGTAGCTGGCACCTACTGAGCTCTTCCAAGGAACTGATCAAAACTTTCCAGGTGAGTTCAGTGGTGGTTCCAAACAACGCAGAGCTGGTCTAGTTCCCAGTTTTACTTCTGTATATCCATTATCTTAGCTGTGGGATGGGTTAGCACTCTGCTCACCTGCTGTGACCTTGACAAAGAGCAGCTCTAACTGCTGGTTTGTCAGCAGCTCCACCGCTTTTGGTAGCAGCTCTTCTGCTTCTACAGAGATTGGCACTTGGTGTGTTCCACTTCTGAGTTTTCCGGCGTCTGTTCACAAGTATTTGGCATTGTTCAAATGTGCTGCTATGGTTACTCAAGCGCTGTTGACTGCAGAGGTCAAATTGGAAGAGCTCTAAGCAAAGTATCTGGGACAGAATGCAATTTTGAATTTTTGAATTTAAGACCTGGCACACCAGTTCTAACAAGTTATGTAGAGGATAATCTCTTTCTTTTTTTCCCCTGTACTTGGGATTTGGAAAAACCATATGAAAAAATATTGCCTCGATGCCCGTCCAGTCAATGGCACTGACTCCTGCTGAAAATAGAAACCAGCCTGTTTGTTCTGGGAATTGCCTGAAGGCTGACACAGCTTTGTGTGCACAAATGGTGGTAGGGTGTACAGAAGAGAGAAACCCACGGAGGAGTACAGGTGTCCTCAGCTGTGCCAGTGCGAATTACGAATGGCTCTGTTGGTGTGGATGGAGCTGACTGCAAATCTCCACCCCAGCAAGACACCTGTGTGAGCACTCAAGGGCTGAATTTTAGAACCCTTGGGAAGTGGGGGAGGCTGGTGGAATAGGGTTCTCAGACCTTATGTTGCCATCTCAGTGTTAAGGGGTGAGGTGCTAGCAGCTCAGTTCTGGAGGCTGAGGCCATGGGTTTCATAATGCTGAAGATTTGGGCTGCCAGAAGATTGGCCTGTTGAGAGCTGTAGCCATGATTTTACTCTCCTAATCATCAGTTGATAAGAATTGACATGAGGTGGTGGTTAGGTCCTGGAAGTGTAGTGAAGTCATTTCTGTACTGCAGCATGGACAAGGTTTGAAAAGGTACTGCTGTAGGGTGGCTTCACAGATGCATAGTGATGCCCACACAAAGCTATCCATTTTGATTCCTTCCTGCAAGAATGCGACTGAGATAGGAATGATTTTCCTCTTCTGATTAAACTGAAGGTAAAATTTCTGTAGATGTGAATGGGAGAAGAGCAGGAAGGTGTTAGAGACAAGTCTGAGCGTGCTGGTTTAAACGAAACAAAAAAATGTGGTGCGACTTGAAAGCTATTTTGAAAAACATGAGCTGAAGTGGGTTGCTCTGGTTGCACAGGTCTGCTCCATCCTGTCTGTCTTTGTTTTTCTCTACTTGCTAGTTTTGAGGACACAGTGAGATGGCAAGGCATTAGAGATGGGTTCTTTCTGTGTGTTGAAAGGGGAGTGAGCTAGTGCTTGCTCAACAGAGTATCAGTGCCGAGTGAGCAGGTCCCTATTCTGATATGGCAAAAATATTGCAAATGAGAATTTCAGGCAAGCCATTACATCAAACAAGAGAAGACTGCTGATTTATTGCTTTCATTAAAACATTAACCTCGCTTCCTCGCTTGATTGTTTCTGCAGGAAGCTCTGTGATGGTAACTCCTGGGGCAATCTCTTTGGTGGGTGGGCTGCATGTTTCCTCCTCTCCCTTCCTCCCCCCTCATCCTCCTAGATCTCAGATGCAAGTTTGCTGCTCTTGAGGGTGGGGACAAAAAAATAGAATTAATCTACCTTCGTTGTAGGTAAATAGTAGCAGCACTTCACTGATACCCCTCAGATTTCCAGTATTTCCCGGTTTTCCATTCAGTACTTGAACTCAAAGCACTGTAGCAGACTTCTTATGCTTGCAGGAGG